CTTTGATGACGAGGCTCTTGCCGCGGCCTGCCTCGCGAGCCTGCTTTCCGCTCGTCTTCCCGACTTCTTTTCCACTGGCGGGTTCACACGCGGGCTGCGAGCTTACTTCAACAAACTTCGTCGCCTTCTCGCGTTCCACCTACCTCGACTTGCTGTCCGTCTGACCAAACTCAACACTCCACTCACGGGACTCACTACTGGTTGGGTGTACACACTTTTTGCCCATGCTATGCCGTTGGATAAGACACAACGCCTATGGGACAGTCTTCTTGCAGGCCCAGTCTCTTTTCCTATGTTTTTTTACCTGGCCATCTTTTATCAGTTAGATCAACAGGTCCATTTTGAGGTGAGGACTCAAGATTGGGCATAAAAAATCACCCTCTTTTATGACTGATGCAATATATTCGTTGTCGTTAAATTACTTTTGCTTTTTTCAAATTGCTTCATACTACACTAAGGCTAGTTTTCGAAGAACTCCTAAATGGTTTGGTGTGATTTTACTTATGATCTAAATGAAAGTTGGTTAATCGAAAGTATGAAGGCCAGCATGGTATGGTCTTCACTTGCCTTTTTGATGAGTTGTAGCTTGCTTGCTGAAAATGGCAAGAGTCACTGATGATGTCGATTACGATGCAGGCGAAACGTCTGGGAATGGGGCAAGTCCACAGTCCGACCCTGCAAATTATCATGCATACTATGGACTCTGGACAAGATGCGTTCATCTAGGTCTTCCTGCTAATATAACCGAGTTGCGAAACCAAGGCGAATTCACGAATCCCTTTCGACAAAATCTTCCTTCGAAATGAAGCTTCCAGTCACACTTGATAATAACTTGATCACCTTAGGTCGCTTGAGATGAGGACTGATAGTATAGTTCTTCCCAAAAAGCGATGAGTATGCCCCACGACGCCATTACATTTCACTTAGCTTTACTTCTCGAAAGCAGTCCACTCTAGATGAGATAATCTTTTAGAAGGGGAGACCAAGTGAAATTCAATGGTACCGTGAAACCTACTTATCTCATTATAGGACAAGTTCAGAAATCAGCCCTTAAATAACCTTAAGCGATATAGAGTGACTAAATGACTGCTCATAAATTACTGACATTCTCGAAGGCTGTTCACATCAAAATACATTTATTGATACATTGTCTCAATTCCTTTACATTCGTTTTTTTTTCTATTCCACATTCTGCCCTCCTACAGTCGCTTAGTCTGGAAAGCATCTGCACCTTGCTTTCCAACTTCCCTGAGTTCAATCTCGATCGGTGTCGGGCAGATGCTCTTCGGTTTGCGGTCAGCACACCGGTTAGCTTCACACTTGGACCTCTCGGAGGCAGCGAAACCTCCGGGAAGCTAGCACACGTTAGACCTTTCGTATCCAGCGATTCTGTCGCCCATGCATTCAGCCTACACAGGTCATCACTCTGGCCAGTGCCAGAAGTATTGTTTGACTCGACTGATTTGATCGATTTATTTCTGGAAGATTATGCTGCTTCAGAAGAGGAAGATGTAGAGGTAGATGGACGAAGAAAGCAATTGAAAGCAGATGCTGACATCAACATGCCAGATGAAGCATTTTCCTATAAAAAAGTGAGGGTAATCTTTAATTAGCTATCTTCAAAATAGATAATTAAAAAATTATTAGTATCTCATTTAGAAGACACTCATATAAAATAAGAAAACAAGACTTACTTGCTGCCTTAACCTTTTACTTCAATTTGCACCTAGTATCGAATATTATATAACAAAACTAACTACAAGCAAAACGAAATAATATTATGATGCCCGAAAATAAAGTCTAATTAAAGGAATCGCTAGATGTATTAGTGGAAATCTCTTTTTACAAAGCGTAGCAGCGATGAGGGTTGTAACTATATTGTGCTACGCAAGTTAGCTGTCCAAGGCCGCATGCAAATTTGTCCACATAAAGCTGCAAATCAATGCTGAAAGAAATTTTCGCATTGGGTACAGTTTCAGCTTCGGGCCTGAAATATTTCTTCCTTTTATCCCCTTCTCCAGTAATGCGGTATTTTGATTGGCATACTAATGAGTAGTAATTTGTTAACTAAATATGTGTTTGTATACGTATGGATAAAGAGTAGATGAAAATTGAATCCTTAAGCACTCGAGTCCTCTAAAACGTGATTGATCCAAGGATCTTTTAAGAAGTATTAGGGGAATCTATGGACTGGCTATTCAAAAGAGGCTATGGGATCTGGCCCAAGCTCACATGATCACTTGGCCTTGCTAAAAAATTAAGCAGAGAAGACTCATGACCTGCTATTATTCAACGTACTTACAAAGTGGGCTTTGTCAATCAAATAAGGAAAAGATACAACTGGCATGATCTATCCCATCTAACTCGGCTCACACCAATATCTGCTTGCATTGCTCAAAGTTGAGGCTATAATCGGTGCCTGAATATCAAATAAGCTCTATCCTTTCTGCTTTACAGCCTCATTATGAGCCCATTCTATCCCAAGTCGTTCTAAACGAGCAGTTTCTACTAAGCCAGAAAACCGCCTCACCTGTCACTCATCATTTTCTTATTTTGTATCCGCTTTTTTTTTACTATACGCCAGATGAACTCTTTTCAGCCACTTATCGCCAGTGCTAGATTTCGCCGTGAAGCTGATATGCTGGAATGTCTGAGTGACCCTGCAGTTTGTTTGGCGCGCCACTCGGATGCCAGCCAACCAGATTTCCCATTTGCTTATTGCTCCTCCGTCACCAGCACCACCAACGCCAATACTTTGAGTTTGCAAAATATTGAGCTGGCTGGGATGGCTGTGAAACCCATCGAACAAGGTACGCGACCTGATATCCAGTCCAATGGTTACGTTTCTGAGCACACAGTAATTGTTGACCAGCACACGGTGACAGCCAGTCAGATATTTCAGGTAGGCTGAGTTATCACACTATTTATGTTTTGACTATTCTTGAATTGAGTAGGCCCTGGTTATTTTGATTGAGGTACATCTTTAGCTGGTCAAAGGCTATTATCTCGCTAAGCACCAGTTTGGAAAGTCCTTTCAAGTTACTTTAGAGACTATTATGCTAATATTTTTTTATCTTCATATATCATCATTCGAATTCATATAATAAAGTTTCAATACGCTTTTCTCAATTTTTTTTAAAATTATAAAATAATCTTTGATACCTAATTGAGTTCTCGCCTTTTATTATTTTTTTCGTTTTAATGAAAATATTAAAATGTGAAATCCTATCCAGAATTTGCAACAAATATAGCCGATCTTTGAAGTAGATTAGAAAGTTGCATACTTATGCCTCGCTGGCTAGAACATTATAAACAGAGTGCCGGGTTGTTCAGTTATCACTCATCTTAGAGTTAGTAATTTAGAACACCTGAAACTTCGTACTTGTAATGAAGCCTATAAACCTATATTTATAAACTAATCTGTGATAATTTTCATACTAATTTTATTATAATAAATAATACTATTATTCTACAATTAGTATTTAGCAGCCATATCGTACTTGCAAGCATAGACCAGGCAAAATTCATTAGACCGTAGGTGTGAAGGCCAAGATGGTGCGGCCTTCTGTTTGGTCGCAGTCTCCTTTATAGTGTTGGTTTGACCTCGTTTTCTCAACTTCGTCGAAGCATCACGGAGACCTTGTTGAACGTACCTAGTCTCGCGTCTTCTGCCATAGTATTTATGATTTCCAGCATCGGACCATTGACTTGGTACATTCCCAAACGTTTCGCCGGCATCATCAGTGAGACGCACTATCGCTAGCACAGAGTTACAAATATGTCATATCTACCACCTAATTATGGCGGTAAGGTTGTCGGACAATGCGCTTATTACAGCGGATCAAAGAAAACAATCTCAAGTCAATCTTGTCATTTAACCTTTCTTAATCGTTGTAAACGTTATGGCACCCCTCCTTGTTTTTGTAACTTGATGGTTAAATATCATTCCGATAAGATTAATGTTATATTATATCAAGCTTCTTTGCAAATATTAGATGAGACGTGATAGGGAGATGGGAATTTATTTAAGTTTTTATATATTAAATCTAGATTTAGGCATGATCT